TCTCAATGTTGTGAAATCTTTACAGAAGTTCCTTTAATTTGAAATGTTTGCTGGTGTCACTGCCTCCGGGACATTTCCACCCTTTTCCTCACCACCACTTTCTTCATTTATGTGGTAAGTTTGCCATCACCAAGTTCCTCTGGCTGCACATCTGGAATCTTTCTAACAGTATCAATGTCAACATTCCCACGGTCAGCTGTTTCTTCTATGACTCCACTTACATCTATTTGACTTTCACTTCCAGCTTTATCACTTTTCATTTCTCCATTGCACTTTCATCTTTATTGCCATTCCCTTTTCCAATAATTGGCTTTGTAAAATGACATGTAGCTTCATCACTGGGAGACCACGAAACAACACAACTTCATGCTTTGCTGTCTGTGCATAAACTGAGTAACAGAGTCACGGTGATTGATCACTACAGACTTTGAAAGAAGTCACATGATTGGTTACTGATCATGATGAGCATCTGTTAGTTACCTGGTGATTTGTGGACTGAAGCAGAGCTAGTAGCAAAGTTTGTACTTCTGCAATTTCTCACAGTAAATTTACTGTGGTAACTGAAATTTGAACCATGTAATGGGGACTAATGTTATTTAACTGAGCTGTGGTAACTGAAATTTATGCATATCAGCACCACGCAAAGTGAGACCTGCCTGTGTGTGTGTGCCTCTTCCTCAAATAGGATGTCAGTTCTATCAGAGAAGGGACTATCTGTATTCTCAGATGCCAGAACAGTGACTGCTGTATAGTAGATCATCACATTTTTAAAAAAATAAATGAATGAATACTTCATTGAGAACATTAGTTTCTAATAGATGATGGGTTTCAAAATAAAATTTTCCTTCATTCACTCACCTGACTCTTGTATTCTAAAGTCCTTTTATTAAAGACTACTCTCTCTTCTTTGCACTTATAAAATCCCATCTAAACTTCAACACCTCTAGAAAATAAGAGACAAAAAAAAAAAAAACACAAGAAAAAACTCTGACATTGATTGGAGTACGTCAAAGGGATGCAGAAACCAACTGAAAGAGCTCCCGAAGGCCAAAGCTGGAACAATTTGAGAACAAAATAAAATTGGATTATGCTACCATCTGAATGTGTGTGTCCCCCTGAATTCACATGTTAGAATCCTAAAGCCCAATGTGATGGTGTTAAAAGGGATGAGGCCTTGGAAGGCGATTAGATCATGAGGGCTCCATCCTCATCAATGGGATTAGTGCTCTTATAAAAGAGACTCCACAGAAATTCCTAGCCCCTTCCTCATGTAAGGATACAATGAGAAGTCTGCGACCAGAGGAGGGCCCTCACTTAACAATGCTGGCAACTTGATCTCAGACTTCCAGCCTCCAGAACTGTGATAAATAAATTTCTGTTGTTTATAGCCACCCAGTCTACGGTATTTTGTTATAGCAGCCACAGCTAAGACAAAATCTAAATAAATTATGGGCTTTTGTTAATAATAGTGTACCAATGTCCGTTCATTAATTGTAACAAATATACCACACTAATATAAGATATTAATAATAGGGGAGGGGCTGGCCCAGTGGCGTAAGCAGTTAAGTGCGCACGCTCTGCTGCAGCGGCCCAGGGTTCCCGGTTCAGACCCAGTTCGGATCCCCGGTGAGCACCGACGCACCGCGTGGCAAGCCATGCTGTGGCGGCGTCTCATATAAAGTGGAGGAAGATGGGCACAGATGATAGCCCAGGGCCAGTCTTCCTCAGCAAACAAAAAGGATTGGCAGATGCTGGCACAGGGCTGATCTTCCTCACAAAAAAAAACAAAACAAAACAAAAAATAGGGGAAACTGTGTGCAGTGGTATATGGGAACTCTCTGTATTATTGTCTCATTTTTTCTGTAAATCTAAAACTGTTAAATAAACATATTAAAAAAAAAATTCAACATCTCCTCAGCTGGATCTCTGCTTCTTGCACCCTCTAGGGGAACAACACAAGCAAATGTGTGGCTAGGAAACTTCTGTGTTAATATACCTAAGTTTTATCTCACTTCCCAGGTCTGAGGTTTCCTTCTCTTCCTTCCTTTGTCCTCTGCTGGAGCTCACCCCAGACCCAGGCAATCAGAGATCCAAGAGGAAACTGCTTCTCAGTCCCCCATGATACTCATCCTAAACTTCTCCAATTAGTAAAGCCCAGGTCAGACCAAGTGCGGTCAGAGACCTTTGGGTTACCTGGGTGAGGTGAGGTAGCTTTGAGGATCTAACTGGAGGTGTTACTAGATGTCCTGAGTCCAAGAATTCCCAGGTGGAAGACATTCTCAAGTGCCTGGTGAATGCTGTGATGCACCAGGCTGGAGAAGATGGCCCTCAGCTGTCAGCCCTCTTTGGAATTGCCTCAGCTGAGGAGAGCCTCCTTGCCCAAGGTCATGCCTGGTAACACGCCACATCCAGTGACTCATCAACATGGTGATATAAAGGCCCAGTCCTCTCACTCCAGCTCAGGACACTCTGAAGGAACATCCTAGCACCAGAACTCCATGGGAGGTCGGCTGAGGTCTTCACTGAGACTTCTTTGCAGCTCAACTTCTCCTTCTATCCAATCCTGCTTCCTTCTCCTACCTCCCATAGATATTGATCCTAAATGACTCCCTGAAAAATGATATGCTTGTTTATCTTCATCTCAGAGTCTGTTTCCCAGGTAACCCAACCTCGGACAAAGAGGCTGTGTTGAGTACCAGAAAAAGTGGGTATTCCTTTGTCTCTAGGGGCCAAGCAGTCATGGAAGAATGGTTTGTTCAAACTACCATATATCACACACCATATAGTCTATACCAAGAGCAATGAGAATCCACAAAAGTGTTTATACATGAGAGCGGTGAAATCAGATCTGTGTTGTAAAAGAGCACTTGGGTGGAGTAGGAGGAAGAGATGACAGGGGGCAAAAGAAGATGGGGCTAGCTTAGTTAAGAGGGTATTTTTTTCATTCAGGCAAGATGTGATGACAGAGACGGAGAAATAGATTCAAGAGGTATTTGGAAGTTAAAACTAACAGGGTCTGGTAGGAGACAGATATGGGTGGAAGAGTGAGGGTGTAGAACATGGGTCCCTTCTTGGTTTCACCCAATGGGTACATGATGTGCCACATACTGAATAGGGTGGGGTGTGAGAAGAGAATGTTTGAGTGCAGATTATGACCTCAGTTTTGAATATTTGAGGCATCAAAATGAAGATTTCAAGGTCAAAGGATATGTTGGTCTGGATGACGGGCTCAAAGTTACTCAGCAAGTAGGAAGTGGATTCAGGATTTGAACCTAGATTGTTTCTGGTTCCAAAGCCAGTGCTCTTAAACATCAAGGCACTAAAAATCCTACCCTCTGAAGACGTTAGAGTCTGATGGAAGGTGTGAAGATTACCAAAGATTCCTGACTCTGAACATCAGTCACAGACCCTTGCAGCCACGTCTTAGTGTCTGGATTCGGGATGGAATCTCAACATGGGTGGAGTTTGCCCCTGAATGCCCAATATCTCCTGAGCCAAAACAAGGGATCCTCAGGCAGGCAGAATCTCTACTAGCCTGCATGATTTCACTCACTCCTCCTCATAGGTCATCCTAGATCTGTTTGAGTGCCTGCATGATTTCACTCACTCCTCCTCATAGGTCATCCTAGATCTGTTTGAGTGCCTGCATGATTTCACTCACTCATTTCCAACTGGCATGTGACTGGGGCCTGGTGGCAGGTACCTGAGGGGTCAGCATAATCCAGTCAGGGACATCATTCCCCACACAGGAAGTCAATGAGTGAGTTTGCTCTCCTACCATGGCCAGGAGTCGCTTCTGGGGAATCATGAGACCAGAAGGAGGGGTCCTGTGTGTCACTCACTCCCAAGTCTTGTTTGGAAAAGCCCTCTTGGAGGAAATGAGTCACTCTCCCGACACTTGAGCTTTTCCTGGTCTGCCCTGAGAGTTCTACTCCCAGCTCTGCTGTCTGTTATTCTCTGAGGACAACCAGTGTTTCCTTCTCCTTGCCACTCCCTGAATTAATTTCATGAAATACAGTGAGATTAGGGCATCCCTCTATTCTTCCAGAAAAACTAGTCTTCCCCAGAAATGTTTTCCTCAAGTCCAGCCACATTCCATGGCGTCCAACTGGCCATGGAGAATTCACACATTTCTCTGAAGCTGAAAAATGTGAGCGTAGGCAGCTTACCTGCCATTCTCTCCTGGCCTCACAAGCCAAGAGTTCCCTTGTCTCCTTAACCTGCATCTTAGGCCATCTGTGGTTTTTATGGTTTTCCAACCTGAAAGGAGAGATTGTTACACCTGACACAGTGTGGGGTAGTGATGTTGGTGGTAGTGGGGATTGGGGATCAATGGTGGACCTTCCAAAATGGATCAGTCCCTTGAAGCTCTACTCTCATTTTATTTAGAGAATAAACTGTCCCTCTCTTCCCTCTTGAAGAGATAAGCAGAGTAGTCATATCTGCCTTCATGGATATAGTAGTCCCATATGCACACTTGACTCTTTAGGTTTCCTATCTCTTGATTTCTCCTTTCTCCACATCTCTCAGCACTAATCTTTTCACAAATTCAGTAGCTGATCACCCTTCAGAGGAAAGACGAAGGCCAATCCCAAACTCCCTGGAGGTGTGGGGTGGGAAGAGGGGTTTGGGCCCATCTCCAAATGTATTGAGTTATTTTTGGCATTTAAATGAAAGAATGACTAGTCCCTTTTTATGAACACTGCCCATTCATAATTTCATCCCTCTCCCTCCGTGTCCTCTTTCCTTAGCTGGGTCTGAGAAGTAGAACTGGGGGGTGATGCATCCTCTGGACTGACTCCCCTCTGACAGCATTCAGAGTGGGAGTCGCCTCCACTTGCAGAGGCCTCTTGAAACTCAATGTGTGGGTGCTCATACATGTCATTAAAAGAATTAATGAATGAAGATCAACCATGATCTGGATCAAAGTTCCTCAGTCCTGCCAAGAGCATGGAAAATAGGAGATGATTTTGAGTTTCTTTCCAGGAACCACAGATGACATGTTCTACGTGCAATAAGCTAAGATGTCACAGACTGTGTCAACTGGGGAGACAATCACCTTGAGTTGCAGTGTACCAGATTCACTCCCAAGTGGGCCCACCTTATGGTTCAAGGGGACTGGGTCAAGCCAGGAATTAATCTACAATTTCAAAAGAGGTCTTTTTCCCAGAGTAAAAGAAATTGGATACAACACCAAATCGGACAACACAGACTTATTTCCATCAGCATCAGTGAAATCTGTCTTGCAGATGCCAGCACCTACTACTGCGTGAAGTTCGAGGAGGGGAAACCTGACAGGGAGTACCAGTCAGGTTAGGGCACCCAGGTCCCTGTTATTGGTGAGGATGTCTCATCTACCCCTCGGTGTATATCATCTCAGTAATAATAGCCTCCACTCATTGAACAATTGCAATATGCCAAATATTATTAAGACTACTATATACATTTGGTCTTGTTTCATTCTCTCAGCAACCTGTGAATTAAATATTTTACAGGAAGGGAAACTGAGACTCAGAAAAGTTAATGGAGTGAGGAAAAATATTTTTATCAAATTCTTAACATTCAACCTACCCCCAATAGCTAGACTAAACCAATTAAAGTAATTTCATGTCCCCTACCATTAGTTGACTCAAATATGGGACGAGCTTAAGCCAATTTGGTTCCAGAAAAGAAAAGGACAGCCCTGCAGAGAAATATGGGAAACTAATGAATTCTCTTTCCCATTGGATGGGAACAAGTAGTTGTGTTGCCCATATGTACTGGGTATGCCCAGATGATGCCCAGGCAGACAGCATCTCATCATGAAAGGAATCAGTTGAAAAATCTGCTCTAGATGAAAGCAGAGATGTAAAGAATGTGGGTTGACAACATGGTATGGCCATATTGCCCTGGTTCGAACTCCACCTCCAGACTCCCACTTATGGGAGACAAAACATTTTGTTAAGCCAGGTTGCTTAATGTCAGCACTGCCCCAAAGGATGCCAGGCAATAATGGTCCCACATTCACAGAGTGTTGAAATACAACTGCAAATTAACTTTTTTTGCTCCCAAAGCCTTAATTTTTCTTAGTTTTGCTACTTGTGATGCCCTCTGAATTCTGAGCAATACCAGCCTGAGAAATGATGAAATTGGTAATACTTAACACTGCCATTTATTGGGCATCTACTATATCCCAAACACTTTTCCCATATTATTGTATTTACTTGCCTAGCAAAGTGAGTTTAAGAATGTTTGTCCTCATTGTACAGATAGGGAAACTGAGACTCAAGGAGATTCAGGAATGCAGATAGTAGGGGAAAGAGGTGAGGTTGGTCTGGCCTCTGTCCAGTATGCTCCATGTTAGTGAAGAACCTTTTCTCACAAGGGATAAGAACCCAACACATTAGTTTAAACCAAAAATAGGAGTTGAGTGATCTTGTAGCTGAGGAGGATTCTAGCTTCCTCACAGCACCCTAGTCAGAGCTTTAGGAATCAAGGACTAAGGGTCTGGACTTAGGGCTCAGTGCCTCCAAGATTCTTATTCTTATTCTTATTCTCTTATTCTCTGAAATTCTCTCATCTCTATTCATCTCTGCCTGGCTTTATTTTCACCTGGTACTCATGGATCTTCTCCATATGATGGAGAAGATAAATGAAGAAAATGTTAACATTCATTCCCCCAGCTTAGCAACCAGGATAGAAAGAGCTTCTTCCTCCCAGCCTCCACAATTGAGTCCCAGGGAACTATTCAAATTAGCCTTTCCTGCGTCATTTGCCCAACATAGCGTTTAATCACTATTGCCAGAGAGGAAGTCCCATGGTAAGGAACCCACCAACCCAAAGAAACAAACACTAAAGAGACTGAAAACAACATATGTCCACTGCAAATTCCAAACCCTTCATTTAACATATGAGGAAGTTGAGAATCAGAGATTGGACTTGCCTAAAGTTACACAGGCTATGAATACTAGACCCAGATTTCCTGCTCTCAGAATCCTTTGGGTTTATGGCTTTGTTTCCTTCCTAATAACATTCTAGTTAGAGTGGAAGGTGAAAGTTTATGAAAGTTGTTTAGAGTGGGAATATTATGAGTGAATTCAATGCCATTTCTATATAACAAATAAAAAAATACATATTTTTTTTTAAGATACTGAGCTATGTATTAGTATATCCAGTGGTTGGCATAACTAACTGACAAAAAACAAAGTTGGAGGACTGATACTATCCAACTTCAAGACTTGCTATAAAGCACAATAATTAAGACAGTGTGGTATTGGCAAAAGAATAAACAGATCAATGGAACAGAATAGAGAGCTCAGAAATAGACCCTCATAAATATAGTCAACTGATCTTTGACAAGGGAGCGAAGGAAATAAAATGGAGCAAATATAGTCTCTTCAACAAATGGTGCTGGAACAACTGGACATCCACAGGCGAAAAAAAAACGAATCTAGATACATATCTTACACTCTTCACAAAAATTAACTCAAAATGAGTTATAAACCTAAATGTAAGACACAAAACTATAAAACTCCTAGAAGATAATACATAGGAGAAAACCTAGATGACCTTGGGTATAGTGATGCCTTTTTGGATACAATACCAAAGGCATGATCTATGAAAAAATAAGCTGGACTTCATTAAAATTTAAAAATTCTGCTCTGTGAAACAAAATGTCAAGACATTGAGAAGACAAGCCACAGACTAGGAGAAATATTTGTAAAAGACATATCTGATAAAGGTTTTTTAGGATGAAAAAAGTGCAATAACAAAAATTAAGAACTTAATCAGGGCTGGCCCCGTGGCTTAGCGGTTAAACGCGCACGCTCCGCTACTGTTGGCCCGGGTTTGGATCCTGGCTGCGCACTGATGCACCGCTTCTCCAGCCATGCTGAGGCTGCGTCCCACATCCAGCAACTAGAAGGATGTGCAACTATGACATACAACTATCTACTGGGGCTTTGGGGAAAAAAAGGAGGAAGATTGGCAATAGATGTTAGCTCAGAGCCAGTCTTCCTCAGCAAAAAGAGGAGGATTAGCATGGATGTAAGCTCAGGGCTCATCTTCCTCACAAAAAAAAAAAAAAGAACTTAATCAATGTGTTTAAAAGCAGATTGGAAACAGCTAAAAAGAGCATTAATGAACTGGGTGAGAGATCAGAAGAAGATACTAAACTGAAGCACAGACAGAGAAAAGGATAGATACTAGAGAAAAAAAATGTAAGACATTTAGGACATAATAAAAGTGTAACAAAATGGAACTCAAGTCCCCAAATAGTAGGAGAAAAAAAAGAAAGCAGAAGCAATAACTTAAAAAAGAATGGCTGAGTTTTCCAAAACTGAACAAAACTGTGGAAACCAAAGATAAACAGAAAATTCTCAAAAACTGTTAAAGGATAAAGATACTACTTAAAAAATAGCAACAATAAACCCTGATGTTTGGCTCTTCAACAGAAAAATGAAAGCCAGAAAACAATGAAATGGTATTTTTCAAGTGCAGAAAGGAGATGCCTCTATGATTCCATAAACAACATAAATAACTTTCAAAAATAAAGATGAAATTACAGTGTTTTCATTCAGCAAAAAAAAAAAAAACAGATAATTTAGGTTTGATGACTTTCAATAAAAGAAATATTCAAGAAAGCTCTTCAGACAAAAGAAAAATAATCCCAAGCAGAAATACAGAAATGTGAAAAGGAACAAAGAACAAGTAAAAGAGTAAATATTGGGTAAATATAAATAATTATTATAACAAATAACTATAAAAAAATGATAATATCATTTGTGAGGATTAAAATATTTATAGAATTAAAGTACACAACAATAGTAGTATGTAATTGAGGGAGATAAATGGAGCCAAAGTATCCTATGATCCTTGTCTTGTCTAGAAACATACAGATACTAATTTAAATTATTCTTTAATAAGTTAAAGTTCATTTTGTAATCACTAGGTAATCACTAAATAAATGCATAACTACAAGCCAATAGAGAGAGAAAGAAATGAAGTACTACCATATGATCCAGCTATTCCACTGCTGGGTATTTATCCAAAGAACTTGAAAACAACAATGCATAAAGATACATGCACCCCTGTGTTCACTGCAGCGTTATTCACAATAGCCAAGACTTGGAAGCAACCTAAGTGCCCATCAAGGGACAAATGGATAAAGAAGATGTGGTATATATACACAATGGAATACTACTCAGCCATAAGAAACGATGAAATCCAGCCATTTGTGACAACATGGATGGACATTGAGGGTATTATGCAAAATGAAATAAGTCAGAGGGAGAAGGTCAAATACCGTATGATTTCCTTCATTAAGTAGTAGATAATAACAACAATGAACAAACACATAGAGACAGAGATTGGATTGGTGGTTACCAGAGGGGAAGGGGGGAGGGAGAAGGGCGAAAGGGATAATTCGGCACATGTATGTGGTGATGGGTTGTAATTGGTATTTGAGTGGTGAACATGATGTAATCTATGCAGAAATAGAAGTATAACGATGTACCCCTGAAATGTATACAATGTTATAAACCAATGTTACTGCAATAAACAAACAAACAAAAAAGAACGCAAAAAATAAAAAATAAAAATAATCAGATGGCAAGAAAGGAGAGAAAGAGAGACAAAGAATAGTCTGTATAAATAGAAACCAAATACAAATATAACAGGCTTAAACCTAAATGTCTTTGTATTTATATTAAATATAAGTGAGAAGAATGCTCTAATTAAAAGATGCCAACTGTCAGGTGAGATAAAATGAAAACACAATCCAACTATGCACAATCCAACTACTTCCAAGAAATATATTAATACAGTAATACAGACAGACTGACCAGAAAATAATGGGGAAAAGTATATCCCACAAATCAAAAGAAACCTCATTTGTTATATTAACACCAGACAACATGGACTTTAAGGCAAAAATTATTATACAAATTTAAAATGTGACATTTCATAATGATAAAAGATTCAACTCACCAGGAAGCTGTCACCACCCTAAATGTGTATCCATTTAATAAGGTAGCCTCAAAATAGGGAAAATGACAAGAATAAAAGAATAAAGAAATCCACAATCATAGTAGGAGGATTTTAACAAATCTGTGTTAGTATCTATGCTGCATAACAAATTACCCCAAAACTTAGTGGTTTAAAGCAACACACAGTTACTGTCTCACAGTATCTGTGGGTCAGGAATCTGGGCACTGCTTAGTGGGGTGACTTTGGCATAGGGTCTCTCACAAGGCTGCAGTCAAGGTGTTAGCCAAGAATGCAGTCATCCAAGGGCTCAACTAGAAAAGAATTCATTTCTGAGCAAACTCCCACAGCTGTTGTCAGGCCTCAGGCCTTTGCTGGATATTGACTGAAGACATCAGTTACCTTCCATGTGGCCACAGGGCAGCTCACAACATGGCAGCTAGGTTTTCTCAAGGAGCAAGAGAGAGAGGGTGAGAAAGAGAGAAGTCACAGTCTCTTTATAACCTAATCTCAGAAGTGGCATCCCGTTATTTCTCCTGTTCTATTCATTAAAAACGAGTCACCAGATTCGGGGAGGGGATTACACGATGGTGTGATGACAAGGAGGTGTGGATCTTCAGGGACCATCTTAAAGGCTGCCTACCACAATAGCTTTCTCAGTAACTATAGCCACTGTAGCTGAGCCCAAACATGAGTGAAAGGGCTACCACCTAGCTGAGGCTGGCAAAGCATTTGGGTCAGATCAGTCAGGCACATAAGAAGAATCTTTTAACTCAAGAGCAGTGAAGAGCCACTTAAAGAGAGTGACATGATCAGATTTCTCCTGTAAAAGTACCACTCTGGTTATAGCGTGAGGAAAAGACTGAAATAGGGAGAGTGAGTGAGGCAAATTGACAGGCTGTCCCAGCCAGAGATGCGAGTGGAGAGAGAGACAAAGGAGGATTAAGATGTATTTAGATGAAAGGATGTGGGGGAGTGAAGGGAGCGATCAAAAATGACAACAAGGTTTTCCGGCTTGACTAACTGGGTAGATGCAGGTGTCAGACGCTGAGATGGGGACACAGGACCAAGAGCTCGATGGGGCAGGTGAGTGATGAGAAGAGTTTGTAGATGCTAAGTAGACAGTAAGATTAGACATGTAGGTGACTTGCCCACGGTCATGCACAGACCAGGCAGGTCCAGTTCCAACCAAGGCCCTCTGGGCCGCAAAGCCTGTCTCCTAAGGCCATGTTCAGTGGTCCCTGCCAGTGAGGAGAACCAAGCCCAGTGAAGGAGAGAGACTCTAGTGAGTGGGGATAGGGAACAAAGTTACCAAGGGTGGTGTTCTAGTTACGACTGCTGCGTAAAAAAACACCCCAAAAATTAGGGGCAATCAACAACCATTTTATTATGATCAGTGATGCTGTGGATCAGGAATGCAGACAGGTCACAAGAATGGCTTGTCTGTGCTGTATGTTGTCTGGGCCCTCAGCTGGGAAGACTCAGGCAGAGGTGACAACTTCTGGGGGCTGGAATCATCTAGAAGCTTCTTCATTTATATGTCTAATGATTGATGCTATTAGCTGACATCTTAGTTGGACTTTCAGCTAGAACTCCTATATATGTCCTTGCCGTACAGTGTCTGTGTGTGTGCTAGCGTGGGCTTCCTCATAGCATGGTGGAAAGATTCCAAAAATGAGCATCCCAAGAGAGCAAAGAGGAAGTACAGAGAATTTTTATGGTCTAGCCTCAGAAGTCACATCACATCACCTGTGTTGTACTCATAAGCCTGCCCAGATTCAGGGAAGAGGGAAGATCTACCCATTTCTCCACGAGAGGAGTGTCAAAGAGCATAAGGGAATGTTGCTGCACTCAGGTCTGGAAAATACAATCTGTCACCGTTGAAAAAGGGAGTGGGTTGGGATGATGGAAGCTAAAGGGAGCACTGTGGCCAGTTCCTCCTTAAGGGCCCCAGGTGGAATCACAAGGAAAGAGAGAACTTGTCATATGACAGAACAATCTAATCCTGTCTCTCACTTCCTTTGTGGTTCTGCCCCTTCTCATCACCAACATACAGTCAGCAGCTGGGAATGAGGCAAGAGTCAGGAGCACAAGGGAAACCGAGTCACAGAAGACAGTGTCTGGCATGGGGCCCACAGAAGGAAAGAGCTCACAGCTGAGACGCTCTGGACACAATCTTGTGTGCTGGCTGTTGCTGCTCAGAAGAAAAGAGGAGGAGAATTCTTGATGTGGGAGTTTCTCCTGCTCATCCACTCCCCTCTGCCCAGAGGTGGACCCAGACTGGGGTACACAGAAGAAACCACCCCTCCTTCCGGCTATGACTCAGGGTGTGTTACTCTCCCTGCAGGATGAACATGCTAAGGCCCCCCAACACACACACACAGGCCTCCTCCATTGTCTAAAGCAGAAACTACCCTCCCCCACCAAAGACCTAACTCCTTGCTCACCCAAAGCCACTTCCCCCACAGGTGTACTCTCAAAGCCAGGGGCGAATATCAGTCACAGCTCATTTTACCAGTGACACGTCTGGAGTGGGGAGAACAGGACCCCATTCCCCTGAGGCCCCATTCACAGGAGCCCTCCTCCTGAACAGCTGTGCAGTTCATCAGAGCCCAGTTGTTGGACAGTTACAGAAGACTGAACATGCCCTCCAGCATGGCAAACTATGTCCCTGGGGCTCCTGGATGAGGCAGGGCCACCAACGCCCTTGAGATGGAGTGGGGGGCCCAGAGGACAGACCCTAGGCAGTAAGAGAGTCTGCCAGGGCCTCTCCAAGAATTTTGGAACCTTCTATCAGTAATTTCTTAGCTTGTGTCTTATTCCTATTTCATAATCTAGAAGCAGAAACTGTCAAAATCCCACAGCCATTTCCTCCCATCATAGTCACTTCCTCTTACATCAGGGAGAAAGGCTTCCCCTCTCATCACAGAGCACAGAGTCCCAGGACTCTCCAGAACAACATTCAGACAGAGCAGCCTCCAGGGGCCACCACGATGCCCATCCGTGCCTCCTCGTGCCCCCTGCCTCTGCCATCCCTGCTGCTGCCTCTCCTGCTGGGACTCACAGGTGAGCACCATGTCCTCGGGTACCACTGTGCATGGATGCTCACCTGAGTTTGGCTGTGGTACCATTTCTCCACTGGCAGTGAGGTGGGTGGATCTCTGTTCCAGGGCCTCTTTCTTCACTGCCTTTCCCCTTTAAGACATTTCTCTGAATGGTTTCTTTTACAACAAGGATCTCCCAAAAAAATCCCCCCAGAATTCTTATTATTTGGAGGGGTCCTTTCCTCTCCCATCCAGTTCTAGATAGGATTTACCCCATCCAAGCATTTCTCAGTGACAGGGGTTCCCAGCCTCTCCTCACCCCCACACCCCTGACACCCTGTGAAGACCCCAGGACCTAGGGCTTGACCTGCAGGACCTGGTGCCATCCTGAGGGAGGAGGTGGAGGTGCAGCATCTGACCCCTTCCTCCTACTGAAGACCACAGACCAGGGAGGCAGGGCCGCCTTAATCAAATGGAGATGAATAGATAGATAAATCACAAGTACTACACATGCAATATAGCACTAGTAGAAAAAAAATTTTAACTGGTGCTTTTTAGGCAATTAAGTCTCCAGAATCTCAGCATCCTAGGATTATATTCTTGATGTGGGAGTTTCTCCTGCCTGTCCGCTCTCCTCCCCCAGAACTGACTTCAGACTCAGGCAGACAGGTGAGGTACCCCTCCTCCTCCTCCTCACAGAATTGTTAAGATCTCAGCTGAGAGGTCATCTAGTGAAGTGGATAAAAGCACAGGCATTTCTAGAAACAAACCTGCCAGGGTTCACATCCAAATTTCATCACAAACAGCCTGTTTGACTTTGGACAAGATACTAAACTTCTCTGTGCCTCCATTTTCTTGTCTGTAAAATGGGGATAAATAATAATGCCTTCTAATAGGATTGTAGTGAAATTTAATTGAGTTGTTAATATATTTAACTGTTTAGAGTGTTGTGTGTTACACAGAAGCATCTATGGAAACTCTGCCTGTTGAATCCTTCCAGGGTTTATTAGATGCAAATATGAATATATAAAATGGTCTCACTGATTCTGGCCATTACAGTACTCACTCTGTGGCTTTAAAAAGCCCGTGCATTCATTTAAAACTTACAGCACTCATGGAAAAAGGGGAATGATCCATCATGCCTGACAAAAGAGGAAACTGAAAGCAGAGGAAGGGACGGCCTTCCCAGAATCACCAGGTTTGTCAGTGCTGGAGCTGGGCCTGACCCCACGTCAGCCTGATGCCCAGGACAGCATGATTCCACTGGACTTAGAAGGAAGGAGGTCCTTCAGGCACAGTTCTAGATGTTTTTCAAAGGTTTTTCAGCTTCAATCTCACAACAAAACCGTAAGAGAAGTCCCCTGGGCCAGGCAGGAGACTTGGAGCTGACTTGTATTTCCCTCCAGGAGTCGCACGTGAGGAGGAGCTGCGGGTGATTCAGCCTATGAAATCAGTGACCACCTCAGACAGGGGAACGGTCACTCTGCGCTGCACCCTGACCTCCCTGCTCCCCGTGGGGAACGTCCAGTGGTTCAGGGGGACAGGGCCAGGCCGTGAGTTAATCTACAATTTCAAAGGAGGCCACTTCCCCCGAGTAACAAATGTAGGAGACGCCACAAAGAGAAACAACACGGACTTTTCCATCCGCATCAGTAATACCACCCCAGCAGACGCCGATATCTACTACTGTGTGAAGTTCCAGAAAGGGAGCCCTGATGACGTGGAGTTTAAGTCTGGACCAGGCACCAAGTTGTTTGTGCGTGGTAAGTCCAGATCCCTGAAAATCCAGCTCTCTTTTCTAAGACAAATCACAAGCCTCAAGCCCTCAGCTCAAGGTTCCCCCTTTGTTAGCTCTTGTGTCAAGAGTGAGAATAGAAGGTGTGGGTAGTGAGAAGTCATAGTGAAGGAGCAGAGTGAAATGTAACCCCAGGGCCATATATCAATAGAATCCTAACCCTCTAGAATTTTACAATTTTCAAAGACTGCCAAATGGGCTGGACAGCAGAATGGGTGAAAGTACAGACTCCAGGGCCAAAAGGCCTGAGTTCAACTTCTAACTCTGCCATTTACAAGCTGTGTGACATTAGGGAGTTTCTTAAGCTCTCTTGGCTCAGTTTCCTCTTCTATAAGATAGGGATAATACTGGTACTCACATCATGGATTTATTCTGTGGATTAAAAATGTAAATAAATTTAAAATGTAAAACATTTAGAAGAGTGCCTGGAACATAATTATTATTATTATAATTGTGCATATTGTCAGTATTCAGGATATTAAAACCAATCAGAATTAAAAACATAATCCAAAAAGCATGTAACCATGGATTCACAGAAAAAAATAATGATAGAATTATTGAGGCAGAAAATCAGAAAAATCACATTTTTGATGTGCAATATGTAATCCTTATATTTCCTAAATTTTGTCCATGATTTCTTTAAGTACTTTGTATTCTTGGATGTGGTCCTGGCTGATAGAATAATAGCTGAAGACAAAGCCTGCAAGACTCCATAAACAGCATCTATAAAGGAAGGCCTGGGAAGCAGAGCAGTTAGCTCAGGACTGTTTTTATTGATGAAGTAATGATTATAATGTTTTTTCTGTAAAAAATGAGCATGATAATTTACTCTAAGAGAACCATTGAAACATACATAAATAGTATTTTTGAATCTTTTCAAAAATTTTAGAATTTCAGGGCAGTGGAGAAACAAAGAGAATGACAGGCAGTTAGTGGGGACAAAGAGAAGGTCATATGATTATCAAGAACTGAAAATAAAAGACAAGTTGTATGTGAACCATTTGAATGTGATCAGTATGAGATGACTAAGGGCAACACTGGGCTCTAGAAGGCAAGTAGTGCCTTCAAAATTCTTAGAGAAAATGATGTACAACCTAAAATTCTATACTCAGACAATTTGCCAAGTTTGCAAGATCACCAAGAACTACCTTTCACGCACACTTTTTGCTTTACCAAAATAGGGGTTAAACAAAGAAAAAGTAAGACTGGGAACCAGGAATAGGGGATTGGAGACCCCAAGATAACAGCTATGCAGAAAGCATCAGAATGGCCACTTGGCCATTCCAGAATAGGAGGACTGAGCACTTTCAGAGGGACGTCTCAAAAGGATAGAATTGCTAGAATATTAAACAGTCTTCAAACTCATGCTCACCATTTCTAACACTATTTAACATTCTATTGAAGTATTAGCCAATGCTTTTAGAAAGGAGAAAGCAATAAAAAGCATAAGAATTACAAAGGAGATGGGAAAACTACTTCTCTTTTGTAGATTATATGGCATCTAGAAAACTTAATATAATCAACATTAACCTTTACAAACAATAAGATAATTTAGCAATGTAGCATGTTATAAAATCAGCAAACAGAAATCGATAATCTTCATATATACAAACAAAAATCAGTTAGAAGATATAACAGAAAGGATGAGCACATTACAATAGAAAATTTAAATTAAATTAAATATTTAGGCCAATTTCTACCAAAACAGTGATAGGGACTGGATTTACTTGCCCACTAAAAGTCTGGGCAAACTATACAAAACGATGGTTGACAAGACATTGTATATGAGGCAACAAATGACAGTGACCTCTGAGAGATGAGAAACAAGTGAGGTGAGACTCAAGATTGCCTCCAGCTTACTCTCTGAGAAAGATTCCAGGCCACCATGCAGGAAGAGTGAACTCAGGTGGAGACTGGAGGTCTCTCTCAGTTGATAAGAAGGAGCTAGATGTCTAAGGAGGGCATGATGGCTACAGTTTTCCAAGAAGGATTCCAAAGAGGACAGAGCTTCACAGAGAGAGAACTCCAAAGATCCTGAGTATTTACCTGAGTACTGAATAGTGTATGTACGTATGGAAATACATATACATGAGTGTATGTACATGTGGAAATACATAGACATGAGTGTATGTACATGTGGAAATAGATACACATGAGTGTCTTTATATGTGGAAATACATACAAATGAGTGTAGGTACATGGTCCCAGGGGAAGAATCCCTGGAGCTCACACAAGGCCAAGAAGACAGCCTGCTCCCACCAACCTAGGTGAAAACCTCATAACTCATGGTGTATCTGGTAGAGTATGCAGAAGGGTTCTGCCGCAGTAAAGATGAAATAACTAGTCCTAGGCCAAGTGATGCTGTGGACCTGCCTCACAAAGCGTAAATACAACACATGAAAACATCAGACTGCTTGGTAATTTAACCATGTCCCAAAAAGAGCTCAAGCATATTCACAGGAATACAAACTATCCAACACCCAACAAAGTGAAATTCACAACATCTGACATGC